GCGGAAGACCAGTTTCCATATACCACCTTTTGTGAATGTTCTCGATTTCAAGACATTTGCTCAAGCAATTTGTGTTTGGAAAGGTAACGATGGAAATTTCTGTTCGTGATCCGGGTCCTACGTCATTCAAACGATAGATTTTTCGAATTGGTTTTTCTCTGTAGCGAATTAGGTCCAGATTCGTTCTAAGACTTGACCAGGAGAGCAGCTCTCTTCAAGATATCGTCAAGAAGTGGGATGTTTACAATCGCTCCACACTTATGCTTTCTGTTCGTGCCCATGAGCTCGACAGTCCTTATGCCGATGGAGTTGCCGTACTTGCAAAGCTTGTGAACTTCACAGGCATGTTTTAATTTCGTAGAGTCAGTCGATCCATTGTACATGAGTGCTGTATGATGGAGTGTACATGAGTGCTGTATGATGGAGAGCGTCCGTCGCGCGCGTCCGTCGAAAATAGGTCACGCCGCCCACTTCGCACACGGCGCACCACACTGAGGTCTCGAGATGACATTACAGTATCACCAAGTGTCAGTGGAGCGAATGGTCTGCATTTTTCTGCGTTATCTTTTCTTTGAACTGACTGCCGTGGACCAAACGCAAATCGTATGCCCCACTGACAACTGCGACGTCCGTCAAGTATCGCGGGCTGACTCGTCGAGTGCGACGGCTGCGGCGTGACCTAGTTTCGATGGACGCGCGCAACGAAGCGCATCCCTTTATGATACAAGAGACTTTTGCCGCAATTCGATTTCTGTCTCTACCTGAGTCCAGCCTAAGTAAATATAGAACAGGATGCAAACTTCGGCTGTGAAGTCCAAGAGAAGTCAGCTGAACCATAATGGAATTATTTCCTAATCTGTTCCCAAACCAAAAAGCTGAAGGTTTGATGCTGTAGTTTGGCCGATTGGGAGTGGAGCAGCTAAAATAGAGCTTCGCAATCTGAGAACCTAATCAACTTCGCAAAAATCGGAGAAGGGGAGCTAATTGTGATGATAATTTGATTGGGAGAACTTTATCCTCTTCCTGTTTCAGCTATGGTTTGGAGCTGCTTTGTGGTGATAGCTATGGGTGTGCTGCTGGAATTCGTGCGGTATACCCGATGGCGATTCGAAGTCAACTTTAAAAATGACGTTCAATTGAACACCAAGTATGCCACATTCACTATAAACACAACTAGAAGGTGGATATTGTTCTAGCTCAACAGCTAAATAAGCATAAATCTTTTTGTTAATTTTTACAGCTACATAACTCGGCTTTTCTCATTTCCACATGTCGTGCAAACGATTCTATTCGGTGTTCAAATGGTACTCGCCTATTTCTTGATGCTCATCTTCATGACTTTCTCTGTATGGCTGGGAATCGCCGTGTGTGTAGGAGCGGGTGCGTTATTCTGCTTGTTCTTTCAGTTTGAAGGCATTTGAAGTGCATGGCGTAATGTATGGCTGGGAATCGCCGTGTGTGTAGGAGCGGGTGCGTTATTCTGCTTGTTCTTTCAGTTTGAAGGCATTTGAAGTGCATGGCGTAATCGTGAAGATAGTAGTAAGGCTTAACCCTTTCCTCTCCTCATTACTCGATTTCAGCTACGGGCTTTCTCCTTTTCGGTTCTCGACAAAGAAAGCAATCGTTCGTTGAATCTCTTGACCAGAACACCGGCAGATGCTGCTAAAATGATCTCATACTTTCAGAATAAAGTAATTTAATCAATGACTGATTTCTTTTCAAAAACGCCATGAAGCGAATGTTTCTCTGCTTGTATTTGCTCTTGGTATCAAGCCATGAATGAAATCTATTAGATCTCAGCCACAAATCACAATGATGATGAAGATGTACTTCCATTTCCGTATCCAAGAGCCAATACTATTCAGAGAATGGATGGCCCTGAACATGACAGGTTGGTGATACTTTTAAATTTTTTAAGTCTGAAGGAACAAGGCGAGGGCAAGCGGGTGTCTCAGTGGTGTAAGGGATAAGAGCACGGTCCTCTGAATGGACAAGTACGGGTTCGAGTCCCGTCCGAGACTGAAGTTTTGTCCATAAATCGCCAACCTTGTGAGTCTGAAGGAACAATTGAGAACAGTTATCACAACGCAACAACGAGTAGTTAATTATAACACTGCAGGTTCGGAGCTCAATTTGATGCTTACGTTTTGTTGACGATTTTTCTGATAGATCTACACTCGGGAAGTGAAA